CCGAGTGCTGCGCTCGAAGTGAAAAAAAGTAGGTTTCGTGTGCGAGGCAAGGTTATGCTGGAAAGTGATACTCCTCGCAGGTCAGTTAAAGCCGAGCGTCCGCAAGAGCAGGAGGCTCCACCGCCACCATCAGCGCCGGAGCATTGGACCACTCGGGATGCAAAGCTACGCCGTGCAAAGTGCAAGACTGCCAAAAATCAGTTTGCGTGGAAGTGCGATGTGTGTCACGTCACGGTGACCACTGGCTTGTATGATGCTTTGAAGTTCGCTAGGACAAATCATATCAGTAGGGTGCATCAGGGTGTTCCGAAGAGCCGGTTTTCACGACTGGGGCCCCCGCTTAGGTGCCCTATTCCCCTTGTGTATGACTGTCCGGAGCCTCAGTGGATGTGCTTTCACTGCCATTGGTTTCTCCCGGCATGCCATCGCCGTGTCAAAGCAAACTCGATTGCCAAGCATGTTCGTGAATGGGAACAGTGCCCTCTCCATTGGAGCCCTCTCCGCAATCTTTGCGCCATTCTCGAGGAGCATGGGATCCGTACTCTGGGCGAGCATCAGGCACGGTTGGCTCAACGTTTCAAGAGTGAAGTCGATCTGAGGACACACACAAACTGCACAGTGATGGGCAGGATGGATTGGCAAGTGGCCGAGGGTGGGGCCGTCTTCACGTCGGAGACCCGTCGGATCAATATGATCGAGGATGCAGTCGGGGAGGTGCAGCACAAACTCCGCGACCAGTGGCATCGTCAGCTTCACGCTTTGTCTGGCTCAGTCGCACAGGGACGCCGCCCAGCTACAGGGCTGGCAATTCCATATGGGAAAGTTGGAGACGCAGTCAAGTTGTTCCAGACGGCAAGCACGGAGGCGCACGCGGTCATGAATGGCACAGCGCCCTCGTCCGCCTACTACGGCAAAAAGACGGCATGGCTCGCCGAATGCATCGTGCCCCTGGTGTCATCGGCCGACCGTTGCAAAATTGGGATCACTTGGTGTGGCATTGCCAAGGAGTTCCGTTGGCCGAGCAACGCCCGCCAACCCCCACAGAGACCAGCGAGACGACTGGGATGGCCGGAGACCGGTGACACCTAGGCTGTTTTGCACAACGGCGTCTTTTTTTGGATGGTCTCAGGTGAGGGAGGCTGTGCGCGAGAGATTGGGCTAGCTCCCTTCGGGGAGGGCGGACGCTTTTTCATTGTAAACGGCACGGTCGCCCCCAAAATGAAGGCACCTTAAACCCTAAACCCAAAAAAGACCCTAAAATGAAGGCACCTTAAACCTGAAAATGAGGACCCTAAACCCTGCCTGCAGGGCCTTGAAAAGGTACCTCAAAAGGCCCTTCAAAAGATGCATAAACAGAGGAGTGACAGGTTAGGGCCAGGGGAGGCAAGGGGGGGGCCGTGGGTAGCGAAATGGTGTGCAATTTCCACAAGCGTTTGTAAGACCAGTGTTTGCTGCAGCGTTTGAAGGAGAATGTGGTTGTTTGATCTTGTTTGGGTTTGTGGAAATTTGGGCCGCCGAACGGCCTTGTTCGCAGGGTGGTGCCGGCGGTGACTACAA